GTGATCCTGTAAACTGTGGTCTCCCTGTAAAGTGATCTGTGATCCTGTAAACTGTGGTCTCCCTGTAAAGTGATCTGTGATCCTGTAAACTGTGGTCTCCCTGTAAAGTGATCTGTGATCCTGTAAACTGTGGTCTCCCTCATCCCTGCTAGCCTCCCTCTCAATAGCAGGGGCTTGATGGTGTTGAAGCTGCTCGAGAAATCGAAGAACATGACCCTCACGGCACGCACTCCTAGTCTACATGAGAGTACGCCCTGTGTAACAGGTATAAAATTAATGAGTTTGGAATTCATTTCTGCCACAGAAAACACTTTTATTGTCGTGACATTTCATTTTCAGACAACACAGCTGATATAACTCGAAGGCGACAAGTGTACTCCAGGTTGCCCCCCGCCCCCCAGACCTCCAACCTCTCGACCTTCCCGTAACCATGGAGACACTGCAGCTCGCTGCACAGCCTGGGGGAGGGGAGGGGAGGGGAGAGCAGGGAGGACCCCACCAGTTACAGGAGGCGTCACCGTGAGCGGCGCTGTGTGCGATCGTGCACGTGTCGTTTGTTACACTGTACCACTAAAAAATATCTGCATCTTCTTAAGGCAAAAAACAGCAAACCCATTGTGGTGGGCGGTCCATGATAAAAGGTGGGATTATGTCACACAGAAACAACAGTTTGGCATTAAAATAGACACATAATATCCAGCCAAAGCCTATACAGAGAGGATGCTTTAAGGACAGGAAGAGATTAGGAAAAGGCAAAACCAACAATTATAATAACAATAATAAAAGATTTAAAAACTACTTTAAGCAGGATGGCTATACCAATACTGTCATAAGTTTCAGCTGTAACCATACAGTGGATAATTTCATAAAACTCATAAAGACTCCAGCATGGTTAATATACACATAAAGCAAGAAATCATAACCCTATATACAGAAAATATATGAAAAATAAAGCATTAAAACAGCCCTGACATTTCTCATCTTCACTTTGAAATAGAGCTTTAAATACAGTCCTACAATTTAAGTTTTTTTTTTTTTTGTATACTTCCGATTTACCACAGTATCCAGACTCCATCCACGGCGATGGATTAAATTACCCCGCTGACCTTGTAGTGTGTAATGCGATTTCCGCTTTGAAGTCGCCACGGTCACGCAAATGAGGAGTAATACAACAAGAAAGGAAAAAATACAGATGGACTGATAAATTAAAAAAAAAAAACAGACATGGCTGCAACCCTCAGCATTTCCGCTTAGGTGGGGATGATAGCCATGTCTGTCGCAGTCCCTTCTTGGAGCCGTGACGGATCTCGACATTGTGATGGACAGCCATCTTGGATGTGGCTGAATCCTGGAGTGGGACCGGGGCATGTTGGGGTAGGGGGGGTTGGACGGGTGGGTCGGGGGTCAGTGGGCCAAAGCTGTGAATGACCTCAGCAGCAGCCACCCCCCGCCTGCAGCCCGCCCTGGTTCCCGGTCAGCGTTGCATTGGTGGCGGCGTGCTGGGGGCCAATTTTAATCCCATTTGCCTTGGGGGGGGGAAGAAGCAAAAAAAAAAGAGAAGACTGTATAGTGTCCTTCCACCTGCCACATAGTTAAAAAGTCTGTAAAACTACCCCTTCGTTTCACTTGGTATGACCCATCAACAATCTCATGTCTGAATAAAAGCCCAGAGTTTGTTTACTGAGAAAGGGATTTATACTTTGGGATTCATGCTTTCTTGCTGAGAGACTCAATCTCTGACAGCACCGGACACCAGGTCCCTAGGGGACAAGTCCCCCATCTGGTCACTCCAAAGCAGGTGACACATCATCCGCCACAATTAAGCCAGCAGGGGAGCCAGATCCAAGCATGGCGCCATATGGCTGAGGTCCTGGCAGTACGGTGTGGCTGAGGTCCTGGCAGGACGGTGTGGAGACGTGTCCGGAAATGGCTGTGCTGCTGGAACCCCCAGTCTTTAAATACGGGCAGACCTTCCACATTCCAGCTAGCCTTGCCGTTGCTGGGAATCTGGTCAGCAGTTTATGCCTTTGCTATAGCAAAGTAAAGGTCTTTTTCTGATTTTCTTCCCCCTACAGCAGTGCTTCCCAATCCGGTTCTCGGGGACCCACAGCCAGTCCACGTTTTTCCTCCCTCCAAGCGCCCTGCCAGACATGGAGCTGGAAGGGATCTAAAACATTGACTGTCTGTAGGTCCCTGATGAACTGGATTGGGAAACACTGCCCAATATTAACTTCACATTCTTTAGATTCAGTCGCAGGCCAGTCAGAAACACATAAAAACTGATAGACAGGAATAAACCAACATTTTTATGGTAAAATGTTAGGCTCATCCACCCATCCATCCATTGTAGGTAATGCATCAGTACAGCAACGTTACATTAATGTTTGGGGAAAGTCGTACCTCATTGTTGATATCAAAAACGCCTTCCTGAATCTTCTCATAAATCTCCTTGGCTGTGTTTATAAACGCCTGAAATGCAGAAAACACCATCAGCGGCACGATCGTATAAGAGCTGCCATGCAGACCACCTGAGCAAGACGGCTCAATTTCAATCGGAGACCAACACCCCCGTCTCATGGGGCGACTAACTCTGGAAGGAGAAAGATGTGGAGCTTTCGTATGGAAGTATGGAAACCCAGGGGTTTCTCCGCAGTGAAATAATCAGGGAGAGATCAATCAGGAAAATGAGTGAGCTGGGATGGGGATAAAACACCAGAAAACAGTTCAAGGTCTGCAGTGCACTGACAGGAGGACAGGGGGCGGTCTGTTACATCTGAGCAGGCTTCCGGCAGCCGTACCTCCTCCACGTTGGACGCGGTCTTGGCGGAGGTCTCCATGAAGATAAGCCCGTGCTCCCTGGCAAAGGCCTCTCCCTCTTCCCGCTTCACCTCCCGCCGTGACTCCAGATCACTTTGAGGGCAGAGAGGAGTCCAGTTCAATGGTGCAAAATAGGCCACGCCTTTATTTTATTCGCCCAATCAAATTCCTACGCTCAATGAAAAAACAAAAAACAGCAGTGGCCCCAAACACATAACTCCCTCAATCTGGAAGTTTCTGCCCAATAAACTGCCCTTTAGCAATCAGATTGGCAGTAAGGGACACTCACCTCTTATTACCGATGAGCATGATGACCATATTAGAGTTGGAATGTTGACGTGCGTCTTCTAACCATGTTGTCAAGTGGTTAAACGTGTCCCTTCTGCAGACAGATCAGAGGAGTCACATGCAACTCACATTTCCACCAGCAGAGGGCAGACGGACACAGTGGGAGAGAGAGCTCCTCACCTTGTGATGTCGTAGACCAGCAGAGCTCCTGCTGCCCCGCGATAGTAGGACCTGGTGATGGACCGGAACGACTCCTGGCCGGCCTGAAAGTCAAAGCGATGCTATTAACACCACATTTGCAGGGTTACACAGGAGCAGAAACTGGCCCGCTGCTTAACCACACCTCCACGATGATGTGGCACCCCATGAATGGCCCAGTCCATGTAGAGTCTCCGCCCACCCACTGCCATCTCCAATCACAGGCCACACTCTCAGCCTTCCCACTACATTCTTCATGCCCACACCCAAACATAGGTCAATGACCTCACCATTAATCAATTACGACAGGCCACAGGGGTCCCCAGTCCTCTCCAGGATCCATCACATGTTTTTATTCTAACCCAACTAAGAACTGCTGCCCCGGTGTAAAATGAGCTCAGGAACATCTGCCCTCCCCACCCCCAAGGCCTAGGCTAGCTCCTGTAAACAGAGTCCACAGTAAATAAATAATAAGCGAGTGATCCCACCCCCAAACTGAACTACTCAGTCAACTTCTGCATGCAAAGGGCTAAATATTTACTATCAAATCTATCAAACCTAAAAAGGATCGATAGACAGAAGACTGCGAGCAGCAGGAACACGGCTTATTCGGAAAGTCCATGGAGTCAAATGAGGTAGCTGAAGATGAAAGTGGTCAAAGGAGTTAGTCTCCCCCTGCAGACCAAAGGAAGTATTTACAGCTAAACTGGAAAAAAAGAAACTCCAGCGCGGTTCTGCAGAGCCTCCTGACGGAGTCATGTTGTCCACACACAGGGGACAGCAAAGGACATCCCAGTCCGCGGCAGAAAGACACACAGGGGACAGGGAAGGACATCCCAGTCTGCGGCAGATAACAGGGGACAGGGAAGGACATCCCAGTCTGCGGCAGATAACAGGGGACAGGGAAGGACATCCCAGTCTGCGGCAGATAACAGGGGACAGGGA